TTGTGTTGTTGTAATGATCTGCCCCCCCGCCCCCCCCATACGTTTCCTGACAGTGTTGTTTGATGTGATAAAGATTTTTCTTCTCACCTGTAAGAGAGAATTTGATGGCTTCTTGTTGTTGACTGACTGACTGACAGGCGGTGACGTACTTGTATGTATTTCCTGTTTCTATTCTTGTCTTTTTCTTCTCCAGTATGTCCTACTTTGCCTGATTCATTGCAACGCACACACAGCCACGCACAAAACAAGGGTAACACGTAACTCGTGTTACATTAGTTGCTTACGGAACTCTCCGCACTTTCTCCAGAGCAGGTGCATGTGTGAACGCAAATGTCCGTGTGAGAGCTTCCAGATTATCCACCTAGCATAGAGCCTGCAGAAAGTCGTGAGAATCCGATGTGAGAACACAGCGGGGGATTCCCCACTGGATTCACTGCAAGCGAGGGAGGGAATTGTTGAACGTTATAACACGTGACAGACGCAAAAATGAAAAAAGAAAACAAATATCTCCCTTTATCTGCAGGTCATGACTATTGACTGTGTGGTAACTGTTGACTTTGGCAAAAGGACAACAAATGTCACACACCCCTCTTCAAGTGTTGGCTCGTTAGTGAATGCTTATACACAACATATAAGCCAAACCTGCTTGAGAAGTCATTGAAAGTTACTAGATGACGTCCTAGTGTATTTTTGAATATATATCATAAAATGTCTAGTTAAGACTTAGGCTTAAGGCTTAACCAATTCTAACTTTATCATAAGCTTTGACTATTTTTCGAGCTGCTATCATCAGTTCAAAGTGAGTCTGACCTACCTCTATACTTTTTAAAGCTAGTCGTTCTTTGCACATTGGAAGTGTCATGAGTAGAGAGGATCCAAACAGTGAAAGGAACTCAACCTTATAAACTGAATGGAAGTGGGTGTCATGCTGAATATTTTCTACATTCTGTAGAACTGGACTCTATAGATGCTAAGCTAAGAATTCAGCCAACCTTTTGTCTATCGAGGGTTTTTATAACAGCCTTTGTGAGTCACGCTAAATTGTTGAAAATATATATCACACTTCACTCTCCAGTGCGATGGCTGGAAGTGCAGCGTTTAGTTTATCCAAGCATTTGCCCTCACACCTCATCCAGTTAGCTGCATGTTTCCAGCTGTATCGCTGCAAACATGTCTCCACACCAGCTTGTCAGTTTTTCTTGGCAAGTGCATTTCTTGACATTCAAAGTCCGTCAAGACATTTCTCATGTCTCCATGATGCCTGTCACCAGTGAAAAACTCATAATCCAAGGAAACGGGAGGATCGTGACAGAGAGAAGGAGATGAATAAATCTAAAGCTGTTTCAGACATAACCTCCAGGAAATGTCCTGACAATGGGGTAGGGGCTTTGTCTGGAGTCTGCCCTTCACAAATGAAGCAAGCAGCAAGAGCAAAGCATTCAGGTGAGGAGTAGCACCTGGGTAGAGCATGCAGGAGGCAGGGCACATTGAGAATAAGGTATAAGGAAAGAGTTTTGGGAGTAACCAAAGAACTCTGTGAACCCAATAAGAAAATGACAATAAGGACGGAGGGACTGAGCCCTTCTATGCATTTAATACTGAGTGGTTACATCCAGACGACATGGATTTATTAAGTCTAATACCCATAGAAGCTATTTTGGATCAAAGCCACCTATCATCAGCAATAATGCCTGTGAGATAACAAATAAGACGCCAATAGTCATATTAAAAACTGAACATAACACGCTGAATCTGAGCCAAATCACCAGAATCAAGTCAGTCTAAAGGCATCCCATGAGCAAGCAATGTAGTATTGATCATCTAAACGAGATCAATCACACTTAGTCCATACTGTATATTAGTCTAACTCTATTAGGCTGTGAACAGAGCCAGGGGTTGGGACACACACAGCGAGCGCCACGGATCAGGAAGTAAATCCTGCGGTGCAGCAGCAGCAGGTGACCTCTCTGCGACCTTTGGCTATTGCTCCCAGGAAGTGTTTGCGTAAATGCTAACGAATTTGTTTTTTGCAGAGATTACAAGAGGGGTGTGTGAGTGTGTTTGTGTGCGTGCTCGCTGGGCAGGTGATAATATTTTCTGGGGCAGGTTGAGTTTCAACCCACCGGGTCCCTCTGAGCCTGTTCAGGTTTTTTTCAAGGTGTTTTTGGACGGACGGTTTCTTCTGTTACACCCAAAGGAGCAATGTTCAAATGACTATCAAATGACTGCATCTCGGACTTCCTTTCCTTTGGCCTCCGCTGCAGGGATTTGTAGTTTTAAAGGCTGAGGTGATGGGGGAGGAGGCTTCGTCACTAACTCTTGGTCTGTAAGTATATTGTAGGCAAGTGCAGCCACAGAGAGTGAATTACACTGAGTACCATGAAAGTCATATAAGGGTTAATGCTCTTTTCTCTCGTGAGCAGATAAGTGAGGGGAGACTGAGTGTGAGAACATCAGAGATCATTGTGAACTTGCAGTCCAGCATGGCTCTGAGAATACATTGTGCAAGAAGTTTTTTATTCACTTATTCACAATTTAAAATGTGTATTTATTAGTGGGAATCAGGACAAGTCTTCTGGTTTGTAAGTCTTGTCTGTTTATTGTTTTGTGTTCTGTATATTAGTGTGGACACATATTGGGAAGAGTTCAATATACTATGTGTAAAAATACATAGATTTAATTAAATCTTTGATATTTCATATATTGTTTTCTTGTTTGTTTGCTGTTTAACTTTATGAGATAAAATGTAGAATTTCTCTCCTCTTCTCTTTTCTCGCTTCCTCCCTTGTACCCTCTCCTTCCCTTTATCTCCTCTTTGTCTTCTCCTCCTCTTTCCCTCCTTCTACACATTCCCCTTCACCTCCCTGCCCATCCTTTCTCCTCTCATTTCTTCTCATCTGTTTTCTCCCCTCAACCTTTCCCCCTCTCCTCTCCTCCTTTTTCAACTTAATCTACTCCTCATCCTCTTTCTATATCATCTCTTTTATAACTTCTTATAATATGTACTTCTTTTTTTCTATCCTCCACTCTGCTCATTCATTTTCTCCCCTGCCCCTTTTCCATACCCTCCCCTGTTTTTTTCCTAACTACGATCCTGTAGCCAGGTTTGTCTGTCAGTCTGTTGCAGTGTCTGTACATCCTCCTCATCATTTCATCAGCTTTATTGTTGATTTATGAAGCGAGTGTGTTTCAGGGCTAAATCACATTTGTCCTGTTCTTTGGTCATTTCAGTCAACGGAGTTATGTGGTTTTTGATTGTGTTGTTGGATTAGTTGGATTTTTTTGTGCCATCGGGTGTTCTTCTCCTCTATTCTTCCTCTACCGGTCGACCACGGCAGTCAGACCAACCTTCGGACGCCTCTCGTGCTGTGTGCCGTCGTGGGGGGGCAGCACACCTGTGAGTCTCCCGAGGGAGGGGGTGAGCAGGTTAGAGAGAGGTGCTTCGTGCGTCAAAAGAAGTAATGATCCAGTTTTGAGAATGTAATGAGTACACATATTTGTGTTCAAATGTAGGGAGTAAAAGTAAAAAGTCGTCAGGAAAATTAATACTCAAGCAAAGTACAGGTACCTGAGAAATCTACTTAAGTACAGTAAAAAAGTATTTGTACTTCATTACGTTCCACCTCAGCACCCTCAATTCTTCCCCTGTCCCCTTTTTCCCTTCTATTCGCTCTCTCCTCAATCTCCACAGTGTGAAATCCAATTAATCAACATACTGTAACGTCTTAGATAAAACCAATACTCTCCCCCTTTATTCCTCGTATCGATCTGAAGACGTTTCTGTGTCGGCAAAGCAGCCTGAAACAACAGCAGACGGAGAAAAAAAGTTGATTGCACCAAAACACACAAACACTATTGAGGACGGCGATATTGACTAAACGTTATGCAGCGATGGTCTACTTCACTTTCTGGCTTTGGTTCACCTCTCTTCCCCTTTATTTATTTCTTATACATTTATTGCAACAATTATTTTCGACAATTCCTGTCTTGTTTTGTATTGTCTTATCACCCGATTGATTGTGATATGCAATCATTCACAATGTATGAAATTGACTGATTGCACCAGAAGCGTAGTGGAGTAATGTTCCTTTCTTTTAATCTTTGTTTTTGGAGCCACAGCAGCTACAGAAATGATGCTTGGTTGCTCCACCACTATTTTCCAGACCGAAATGTCTCAACCATAATTGGATGGATCCCCGTGACATTTTGCACCAACACTCATGGTTGGTGGAGGATGAATCCCTTGACTTTTCCTTGAGTGAGTGAAATGTCTTGACAGATTGCCATGAACACTTTTAAAGAAGGTCTGCAGAGGATTAAGGGTAATGATTTTGTTGATCCCTTGATCTGGTGCCACCAGTAAGTTTGTTCCACCACTTTGGTCCGGACTGAAATATCGAAACATCAACATGATGGATTTGGACAAACCATGGTTTAGACATTTATAGATCACAAAACTGTTGGACGCAGTTCAGTTCTAAAAGTTGGCAGAGGGGACTGACTTCTGTTCATCTACTGAGCACTTTGGTTAAAGTTGGTGTATTTCCACTTGAGAGACTTCCACTGAAAAATTTACAAAATGTATTGCCACACCCAATAAGAGATAAAAGTGATGTGATACAAATGACAGCCGATTCGACGTTCAGACCCCTTTCTGAGGCTGAAAGGGGGCGTGGTCACATTGTATAGGAAATGTTGAGGATCTGAATGAGTGACTCAGCTGGGTTCGACCAGGGCTGACTGGAGGTGACTGGGGAGGAGGAAGATCACAGTGAATCGGTGACAGTTATGGAGGGGAGAACAGATTCAAAGTATGACACCAACAACACGATTGGCTGATTGAGATCATGGCAAAATCTGATGGGATTACCATAATCACTCAACATAGAGTCAAAGAGAATTGAGAATGAACATCTGTCATGGCACTCTTCTTCATAAAAATGATGATCATCTTTCACAGATAGTCTTCATGTTTCTTTCCTGTTATAATTATTTTCCAGGGGCATCCAGCAGCAGTTGTCCAGCTACAGGGAGACGGTGATCCGGCAGGCCTCGGTGGCGGCGGGTTCGGCTGTTCACCGGGACGACGCGCCAACCTGCGGCATCTGCCACAAGACAAAGTTTGCAGATGGCTGTGGGAACCTGTGCTCGTACTGCCAGACCAAGTTCTGCGCCCGCTGTGGGGGACGAGTGTCGCTGAGATCCAACACGGTAAGTTTACACTCTCTGATGTCCGGTACACAAGGACACTTCTCAATGCAACAGCAAACTTCAGGCCCCATGTTGAATCAAATTCCATTTAAAATGTTCCCCCAAGAACTGAAAATGCGATCCTTCATGAATGTAAGATTTATTGTAGGGCTGACGTATCTGAGTGCATTAGTGTACCAAACTGTATGAACTAGCTGAGGGCAGAGTGAAGATTTTTCATTTTTCTCTTTTAAGTCTTCATTCACAATTTATAGAAAATGATGCTCTACAGAAAACACTGACAAAAATAACTGTATTTACACTCAAGTGAGAGAAACAAAAACCCCATGTCTTAGAGCTGGGTCCCGTGTGAGCCTGTATAATAGTTTTAATGCATCTTGTATAAAATTCTGCTGGAAGGATGAATATAAACAAAGTTTGAAATAGATACATAAATCATAATGGCACTCAGGAGCAAATACCTCCACCAAGGAGCAACAGTCCCCTTAAATCTTCATCAAGATCGAATAATTATTTTCGGATATGAAAATGTCAGAAAAAATACTCTTTATCTCGGAATGTTAAAGAAAAGCAAAAGCAAATCTTGGATCTGCCCTGATATTGGAATTTGTTGATCTGTGCCAAAATGAAATGGGCTCTTTCTTGGCCCATGTTCCATTGTTCCACTAAGTTCTGTGGAAATCTGTTCAGTAAAACCAAACAAAGTAGGAATCAAATCAAATATACTTCATTGTCCACATGGGAAATATTTCTTGGGCCAAAGTGCTACAGTAGCTGCAGAACAGAACATTGTGTAACAAAAAAAAAAAGATAATACTAATAATCTTGCTGACAAACCAACAAACAAACTGTGAAAACTTATATGTGAATATATGAAGAAAAACTGAAATGACTACCAATAACAAATAATGATACATTATTCTATAAATAATGGATAAAGAATGCATGTATTCATTGATATTTTGTTTGTTACTCATTAACTATATTTATGGTAGGTGGCACAAGTCGTTGGGTCACTCCACTATTCAGTTAAAAGTAACAGAGCTGCATGGATCACACTCTCCAGAACAATCAGCTTTACCCTCAACAACGTCATCGGCGTACACAGAAATACAAAATACAAAAACTGAAAATGAAAATAAAATGAATTCATGAATTAAAATGTCAGTGTAGTAATACTGAAATATAAACATGATGGCACAGAAAAATTACAATACAATGCAACATAATAAACCTTATGTTTTCTATGTGTATAATAATTGGTTTCATTAGTATTTATATATTTGTTTTATTAAACACAAGTAATCATACAAAATTCTGCGGAAATTAATCTATACATTCATATCCAAGAACCCCAATCTGCACTCAGTGGTATAATAAACCCAAACACACTCATGGCCTCAATGCAGTTGTTTAGGTTGTGTGTGTCGGACCAGGCCTCAGGTGTTGGAGCTCAGGTGATGAGCCGTGGCCCATGTGTGTGTGTTTATATGTCCATAAAGTATGCTTTGTGTGTTCATATGCACTGTATGTTAGATCTGTGTGTGTGACTGTGGGCTTATGAGTTCACCCATGTGTGTGAATGTGATCTGTGCCCATGTGTGTGTGTGTGTGTATGTGACCCGAGCAGGAGCTAGTAAAGGTTAATTGGGCATTAGACTGAGCTGTCGACAGAGGGGGTGGTCTCCCACTCTGTCTCGGTGTCCCAGGGGTCCGGAGGTGCCCTATACACACACAGCAGGGTGTGTTTGTGTGTGTGTGAGTCAGTGTGAGTGTGTAGGTAGGAGGTAGGGGTGTGAGAAAGGACATCACCTATTACACACACACACACACACACACACACCCCCACACGCTCTCAAAAGTACATCCTAATTAGTCACTGGCTGACACGGGTAGAGTTCAGCTCGGTGGTCCTGTGTGGTGTGTTATTGGTGGTGCCTGTATTCACAAAGAGATGATGTTTTCTTTACTGTTGCTGGTATTTCATATATTAAAGTATTATTGATATTGAGTGCTGATACGTTGTGACAAATAAAATCCAATTGCGAATTTCACCTGGGTGGTTTTGTTATTGTTCTGTCTGCTCAGATTTACTCTTGAGTTTTCAAACTAAAACGAGATGGGGTTTTTAAAAGTCTGTGGTGGCCCTTTGCGTCCGAAGCATTTGACTTTGACACCAGAGATTGAGATTTACATCCTATCATTTTTAACCCGGAACCTGAAGCAAGTACATTTAGTGGCCTCACTAACACTGCGTTTTGTTGCTCATGGTTTACTAACTTGTTGTGCTATTTAAATAATTGTAACATGTTCTTTTATCTTCATATTACTGGATTCAAAGGTACACGTGTGTAATACAGTGTTTGTTAGTGGTAGGGCTGTAGGATCATGGTCATGCTTTCAGAAATCATCTTTGCTCAAATTGTCTCTGTCTTTCTTTTCATTATACATGGATGGCTGACTGGGCTGCAGCAAGACAAAGTGGTGAGTGCTGTGTTTCTTTTTCTTTCAGAGCTACAGTACTCTGCCTGCAACCCCCTAAGACAAGCCATCTTAATGAGTTCAGACAGTATGTGTATGTGTGAATGTACCATGTATGTGTCTCTCTGTCTGTCCATGTGTCTGTCACTATAAGACCTATGGCTTGTTGCAGCAGCAGCTGCCGAAATGATGCTGATGGTTGAAAGTGTCACATGACATCTGTTATTATTTACTGCATCACTGCTAGATCTGTTCATCCATTGTTTTTTTTCCATGCTTACTGACATCCTCACCCAGCACGATGCATGACATGCAAGGAAACAACCAGGGCCAGAGAGAGGGAGGTCATTTTAGATTTTCTTCCTCTGTGTGGGAGGAGGTGCCAACAAGCCTGTGTGGATATGGGGAGGATGTGAAGACTCAAGCTCATGATACTGAGAGAATGTAAAACTAAAGGCTCATGTTATCTGAATGATCTGTATTTATATAGAGCTTTTACAGTGCACACATTGCAGCTATGTGCAGCAGTATCGCTATCACACATCAATCACACACTGTAGAGTATCTGCATGCACAATGGAGGAGCCGGGGATCGAACCGCCGGTAATTGGTTGAAGTGCCTATTGAGCTAAAGTTAACTTACAACTTACAGGTAAAAATGAATCGATAAAAAATATTTTCATTAGTACAATTTTACTAAATGTCTATTGCCCATAACCACATTTTAGTTCTCTATTTCCATAAAACACTTAACTCATTCTTATTTAATTCTTTGTGTTTAGTGTTTGGATCCATCAAGCCCATCAAGTCTTAGACGTAACAATGTCCATGGGACAAGTCTGTTTGACACAGTGAGCACAGTATCGGACAGGCAGGTGGATAACGGCTGGTTCAAAAGCCTAAATCAGGGCACGGTCACACATATGCCGATGTGAAGAGAATATTGCAGATCAAAGTTTGTACTGTTGAACTCCACGTGAAGCCAAACTGTGCTTTGCTTCGCCACAGGAAGTGAATGTTTTATTCGCGCTCTTGCTCGCACAGATTTGAAGTTAACAGGAGACAAAGCTTCTCTCTGGGCCGTCAGAGCTGTCCTTATCTGGTGTCTTTCTTGGTTTGTGTACTGGTCTGCTCTGTGGCTGAAAAGAAGACTTCCTCATCATCATGTAGCCTGGTTAAACAAGAGGTAGGCAGAATCATCTGATAGGATACTGCAGGAGAAACATTCCTGGTGGACACGCTTTCAACACCTTCCTCTGCTCGAGTAGTTGTGTCAGGTTGAGAACCTTACTTGGCCTTGGCTGCCTTCCCTCAGGGCAGCTGCCAAACTGGCACTTTGATGATACTTGGCTGGGTTTGAACGCCACGGCTGCCCAAGAGTGCTTTGGTGCGCTGAACATAGCAGCCTCGCTCCCTTTCTAAAGCTTGGTACAATAATCATTAGCTCTAAAGAAGAAAGTTCTGGCAGAATGGAGCCTGGTACCTGTATAGCTGGACAGCTGACCGGCTTTGAGTTTGACATGGATTCGTTTAATTACTTGAGGATTGATTAATCTTGCTTGACACAGTGGTCCAAACGTACAACGTTACTCTGCCTGCTGTTTCTGCTCCACGCAAACTAAACATTCAAAGATAAAGCGGAAAGTGTTGGCAAGGGTTTTTCTGGTGTTAGATGATATGTAGTCGATCAGTGTGCTCTATATTCCAAGATCGTTTTTTACTGCTTTTGATTAAGTGGCTTGAAACTGGGTTTTCTTCTGTCTCGCAAAGTGTGTCTTATTAATTCAGAGAAGTTAACACAATTAGATATTTCAGATGGAAACCCAAATGCTGAAACAAATTTATAAGTCCTAGAAATGAACAATTAACTATCCTAACGTACATAGCTGGATCAAGTGTTGGAGGGATGAGGGCCGATTGTGTTATTGTGTGTTTACATCTGCGTAATATGTCATGCATCAGCAGTATGCTGGTAAACCTGCACTCTTCTGAGAGCAAACAATGGAGGGAGATAAAAAGCAGTTTTGAGGTGTTCTATTTTTTGCTCTTTGTGTGATTTAATATTCACATTTCATTCTAGTTTGAGGCAGTTGTATTGTTTCACATTGAAATTTTAATTCCTGACCTATATGTTGCAAACTTGAAAGGTTTGAACTTGTATTGTAGGTCTTGTTCATTTTAAAGACTTATTTACCAAGTGGATGGTGTATTGTTTAAAGAATAAATACAAATGATGTGAATTATACATATTCAGTTTGTAGTTGTTTGTTACATTTTATTATACAAAGTTAGAAAAACAATATCCAAGTCAAGTCGGATGTTACATTACACATAGAAGAACGATCCCAGTCTCTTTCACAGGGCGAGGCATGCAGCTTATTACTTTAAGATCAGATCAGTACTGTCACCGTGTATTGGCTGATACCCAAAGCCCAGGTATCAGTATCTCCATCCATGGTGTCCTGGAGTGTAGGCCGTGCTTTTCCTCAGCTTTATTAGGATAACGTGTTCTGACATCAACTTAAATACATGTTCAGTTTTGAGTCTATCCAGCATTTACATTAGAATACTTCTCTTGCTGTGTTGGCTGACTTCCCACAGACTCCTGACATATTACGTCATTACAATTTGAACTTTAAGACTCATAATGTAATAATACAAAGAGCCGTTCTTTGTGATTGAGATGCTCAGAAGAATAACAGTTTTACATTTGTTTCTTTTGAAAGGATTTTGTGTATGTGAAAAGTCATTATAAGGTAAATTACCTTATTAGATTATTTGATATATTAGATTAACCACGCTTTGTGATTTTATCTTAAACAGCATATCATTTTTTTGGGCAAATACAAAACTTGGGCATCCAAATGATGCTTGCTCAGTGGTACATCAAATTGTTCATAAAGTCTCTGATATGCATCACATATGTTCTTGCTCTCCTCCAATGTCACCTCTGCAATAGCTTACCTGTAATTCTGTCTTCCTGTCATCCTACCACCATGTACGAACTAGCCGAGGCTAACTGTTGTTACTTAAAAAAAAAGAACATCCTTATCAACACATATGGAGTTCACTACACAACCAGCTGTTCTGCTCAAGGTTAAGGTCTGAACTTTATTACAACAATTCCGTTTCCACACCAAAAGTTTTCACTGACATGAGCTTGTGTGTTTAGTGTGTTCATTGTGTACTGAATGAAGTGTGATGAGTGTGCTGCCATGCTTTTCAAAGAACAGTTTTGAAATTTGATTGTTAGAGTTACAGATAAAGTTTTAATAGGCATAACCATAGACAGTGTGTGGTGCAGGCTGGCGTGTAATGATATTCAGGGCTCATTATCTGCAGCGATGGCTGAGCTCTGGTGGAGTGATGTGTGTGTGTGTGTGTGTGTGTGTGTGTGTGTTGTACTGATGCCAAGTGTTTCTCACAGAAAGAACCATTTTTGAAGTCTTGATTCCTCCTCTCATGGGAGATTATGAAGAGAACTGTCCGTTACCTTCTCTCTAACTCTCACTCACATGCTCACTTACAGCTCTCCTCTAATTGTTTTGTCCACGGCCATATTTCTTTGTGTTTGTGTGAGGAGGGGTGGATTTGGTGGTTGTCTCTGTATGGTGGCTCTGTCACTGCCTCAAATGCAGTGTCAGCTGATTGGCTGAGACGATCAAGTCATCACCGTGGTCATCTCTGTTTTTTATCAATATGGAGTGAAACTAAAACTGAGGACACCAACTCAAAGTGCTTTTACTTGTCAAACATGCTGAGGTGTAAATAGTAACACAATAAGTTGCTGCATTGCTGCATTGCTGCTTTGCAACATTTGCTACAGAGCCATTGTTATTTGTCACAGGTGAAAATGTCATCGGGAGAATGTTTCAATAGGAAACGATAGAGAAACAAGAGTGGCACTGAGTCTATTTGTGTTTCCAGAGACAGACATGACAAGTACTGTATAGTTTTATTTTTCACAACTCATCATTACAACCGTTGGGAATCTGCTCTTATGGAAGCAGATAGGCTATTTACTTGATAACAGTATTCTACAATATGTTCTACACCTTTCTCCACTTTTGTCTCCAGTGGATCAAAGTGGATCATTTGCACGTTGTGGAAATGAGGCGAGGGGGAAGTAACATGCTTTTGGCTGATGCGGGACAAAAGTAAAAGTTTGGGGAATTACCGTACCCTCTACGTACCTTCACTAAGGAGGTTATGTTTCATCAGCATTTGTTCATCGATGGAACTTGGTGGAAGGATGTATAATGGGTCATGGTTGAACCCTTGACATTTTGGTGCAGAAAATGGAAATTTAGTGTTTTCTTTTCTTTACACATGGAAGTTCATAAAGGTCATTAATCTGGGGCATTAAGGTGCATACAGTAATTATAACAGGGGAGCATTACACTAGTCTTCTGTGTGTTACACAGCTGGAGATGTAGTATTTATGTAAGCAGAAATTAGTTTTCTTGGCTTTGTTGAAAGTTAAGAGGAAGTGAGTAATTTACCTCCATCAATGTTTGGCTGAATCCATAATCTACAAAATGTAGCATCACTTCTTTTCATGGAACCTTTACTGGATAGAGTTTTTCACCCCACTCTTGGGAGGAAACTCAATAAGCGATGTTGATGCTAGCACTATTTCTGGCGTCCTCCTTAGTACCTTCATACATGTGTTCTATGAGAGTGAGAATGTTGATTTATCATATAAGTGTTCATTTATTTCACCATCGTCTTAATGTAATAGCTGTGTATCACACACGTTGCCCTGGGGGAGGTGTTTTTTGGAGCTGAGAGACAATTCTGTGTCATGCCTGTATGGATTTGTGTCAAGCATCAGAGATCCACAGACTCCAACACAGAATCTGAGTGAGGGACTAACCATCAGCTGACACGACTGCCTCTGAATGAAAAAGTTAGTCTTGCACCCTGAGAGGAATGAGCTATCAAATAATGGCAAAAATACCTCAAAAATAATCTTACTATTTGTCTAATACTTGTGCAAATAT